GCACTCAGAGACACATGCTTACAAACGTGTAGACAAGTCCTCTGTGGTGGTTCAGTGGTAAGGAATCTGCCTGCCATGGCAGAAGAAATGGGATCAATCCCTAATCCGGGAAGGTTTCACATCTTGGAGCAACTAAACCCGTGCACCACCATAACAACTTGGCTAGCAACAAAGAAAGAATTAGGTTGTCTCTTGGCCATAGCTTTTCAAGATCAAGGACATTTATGTGTAATGCCAATCAGTCTGGCTCTAGTTTAGTGAGTCTTCATTGTGTTTGCCTATCATTGGAAGGGAGAATGATTGTATGCTTCACAAGGATATTTACACTAGAATATAAACTCTATGAAAGGAGTTTGCAGCTGTAGAATATGCTTGGATAAATTTGAATTTGTTTTGTTCAATGCTGCATCCCCAAAATATTGGCTACAGTTTAACATATAGTAGATATTTCACAAATTTTTGCATTGCTGAAGACATCAATAAATAATCAGAGCATCATTTGGATAATAAAATGAGGATTTGAAATGTAAAATTAGAGGAAATATATTGAAAGATAAAGTTTTTATTATTATGCACTTACCTGAATAGTAGCCTATAGTTTTGTCTAGTAAACATTATTTTCATAGCATTCCCATAAAGATGATAGCCTAAGGACTTAATGTACATTTAGTGAGAGAAATATGTACAGGTCTATTTTAGATTCTATTGTATTGTAATACTGCTGTCTTTGTATAAAATGTACATTTTAATAATAACTATGATGCCAATTTCCAAGCTAGCAGCAGTACAGAGTTCCTGTTGTGAATACAGTCAAGTTTTAGCACACTAAAGCTCAGAATATTAGGTTTCTAGAATGTGATTTGTGAATCTCACTTCTTTCCTTATTTGTATATTGTGTGTGTGTGTGTGTGTGTGTGTGTATAATTACACCAGATGCTAAAGTCTTTTTAAACTTCAAAATGGACATTTGGCTTGTTATTATTGTTTCTCTTCTGAGCCTTACTATTTATACTCATCTGAATTGTTATATCATGTTAGCAAGTTTGAAAATTAGCCAGAATTGGGGAAGGATCTTGCTTATTTTTGAAAATTAATTAATATGTTTCACTTTCACTACTGTTTTTACTCTTCAACCTCCCTCACCCCTTTCCTCAAATGACTTCATTGACAAACAAGTCTTTTAAAATACTCTGCAACACAATAGGAAAAGAGCGTGGTGGGTGGAGAGCTAGGAGCAGTACCAAGAGCACTAAACCTTGTACAAATTATGCCAGTAAGGTTTACCGCAGGGGCCGTGGTGAACTCAGTTATAAGTAATAACACAGCTACAAGTGCATGCCCTGGGCTTTCAGCTGATTAAATATCATAACTACACAGGCCCTAGTATAGAGGCATGAAAGAAAGATTCCTAGTTTTTACCTAGAAACTGAAACTCTATCACTTAAGTGTTAATTGGTGTTACATTGAATAACTGAAAAGGCAAGACAAGGGCTCCCTGCTGAAATGTTCAAATGGTATGCATCTATTCTCAGCTCCCTAAATTACCACGCGTGTGCACACCACCTCATCTAGTTGAAATAATGCAAGAGAACAGTAGGAGGTGAATGGGGCAAACCTGCAAATTGATAAATAGATTCAGGTCAGGGATATCTGAATTATATCTCACTCTCACACATCCTAAATCATATAAATGATTAAAAATGAAGCTACTTAAATGAGATTTGGTCATGTATTTTGGAAGTAATATCGTGTAGATGTATTTGTAATTAAAATGCATATATGATATTTTGTACTTTGCACATAAATACACACAATAACACAAACATTTAATGTTGTTAATGTTTATATTGAGTTGTAACGTCAGAACCCTGGGATCCGTTCTAAGCAAAGCTACAAAAAGATTATAATCCTTGAAATATGTATGGTTTCTCTGCACTATCAACAACTGCACAAATATGTATGTGCCTCCAATTTACATGGAAGGTAAATGACACATAAAGCATTGATGCACAATCAGCCAAGATGACCATTTCTAATTCCTAATTTTGATCTCTTTCTTCTGGACTATAAAGTTATTTATAGAGCTGTCAAAATTGTGTGCTATGATTAAAAAAAAGTTTTTCCCTTTATTTCAAGTATCACACTTTGCTAATTCATGTAACAGAAAAAGTCCCTTAAAACCGTAGGAAGTCCTGGGATCTCTTAATACAGGAATAATAAACTAAAATATCTGGTTGTTGAATTTTTATATAATCCATATTTCTTAAGAAACATATTTAATTTTTTGGTAGTTGTTAGTGCTTTTAGATATAGACATGGAAGATTGTTGTTCATGCTTGATAAATTCTTAGTTGTGAATTAACTCTTCACGTAATGGGTGACTAAGAACTTTATACTATTTTCTTTATATGTATCTCAGTGTATACTGGAGCAATTTGTGGTAAATTAGATTTTTTAAATTGAAAATAGGGAGTCTAAGTTTAGATTTGATAAATTCTACAATTGTGCTAATATGGTAGTCACTAGCTTGATGTGGCAACTCAAATTTAAGTAAAACTCAGTATAGTTTAAAATTTACTTCCTCAGTCAAACTAGCCATATTTCACATGCTTTCTTGGTATAAGTGGCTAGTAGCTACCAAACTAAGAACTTTCAATGTTGCAGAAATCTTATTTGACATGGCATTTTAAAAGAGAGTTGTATACATTTGAGTTTAGATTTTCATGTCAATTACACAAGAAATACTGAATATATCATAATATTCATTTAAAATATATACTATGTGTGACACAGATGTTGAAGGTATCACACAGGACCATTAAAATAAATATAGTTAACATGCTATATGGTAAAATGGTAACAATTAAATGGTAAAAACAAAAAGCATTTAAGATGTACACGAGAAATTCCTTTGATAGGCTACTGGAAATAAGATTGAAGCTGAGCAATGAAACAGTGAATTACAGATGGGTCCTTAGGTGTTATTCAAACTGAAGTAAAGGAGGAAAAAAGAGTGAAAATCATCATCAATCACTATCATACTCATGCAGCAGACAGAGGGCAATATCTAGCAGTCTCATATATGTATTTGGAATTCCAGAAGGCGAATAGAATGAATGAGTCAGCAGAAATATTTGAAGAAATGGCTGAGAACGTCCAAAAGTAGTAAAAGACAACAATCCATAGTTTCCAAGATGTCTAGGAGGCAAGCAAAATGAATGTACAAATAAATAAAGCAAGACATAGCTTTGCAAAAAAGAACTCTGGAGGTCTACAGAGGACATTTCCTGATTATTTGGAAGAATGCTGAACAATGTATGCATTTGTTTCCCAAGGCTAGGGAAACAATCATCTGAAAATTTAAAGACAAAAGAGCACAATATTTGCAAAGGGCTGGAAATAGTGCCTGTTCTCACTACTGAAAAAAATGTCCTACCTCATGGGTAATAAGCAGAGTATATAGAAAGCTTTCCTATCAGTAGCAGGAAATATTTCATCTTAAACATTGCATCAATTCTGATGAACCTTAAAAACAAGACATGAAAGGAATAAGTTCTTCAAAATAAATTAGCTGCATTAGAGAATATTCAGCTTCCAAAAGCATAAAATTCACAATGTATGCTGACCAACAAAAAATTACCATGCACAGAAAGAAAAGAGTAAATAAGACCTATGAACAGGAGAGGAAAAAATCAACCAAATCTACCCATGACTGATAAAGATGTTAGGAAAAAAGACATTAAAACTATATTCCATATGTTCAAAGAGATATGTAGAAATAGAAATGTGGACTGTGACTGCAACCACTAAATTAAAAGACTCCTTGGAAGAATAGCTATGACAAACCTAGACTGCATATTAAAAAGCAGAGACATCAATTTGCCAACAAAGGTCTGTATAGTCAAAGCTATGATTTTTCCAATAGTCATGTATGGGTGTGAGAGTTGTAACATAAAGAAGGCTGAGTGCCAAAGAATTGATGCTTTTGAACTGTGGTGTTGGAGAAGACTCTTGAGACTCCCTTGGACAGCAAGGAGATCAAACCAGCCAATCCTAAAGGAAATCAGTCCNAAAAATAATGACTGAAAGTTTTCCAGTTATGAAGGTACCCAGATCCAAGATATTCAATGATTTCCAAGTATAAGAATTGTGAAGAAAATGACATCAAAACATGTTGTAATCCAACCATTCAAAACTGATAAAGGAAAAATCCCAAAAATTAGAAGAGAAAACAGATTATATACATGGGGGAAAACAAAAATGCAAGATTAACAGTAGATTGTCTGGTGAAAGAAACTGAGCGAAACACTACTCAGAATTCCGTATCAAATGAAAACATCTATGAAAAATATGCAGTGTAAAGACTTCTTCAGATATGTAAAGGCTGAAAAAAATTCTTCCCCAACAAAATAGTATTACAAAAATTTGTTAAATAAAATCTTCAGGAAGAATCGAAATGATAGTGAACAGAAACTTGGACCTACAGAAAGAGACAGTACACCAGAAAAGGTAACAATATGCAAACACAAACCATGCTCCATACTTTACACCACATGAAAAAAAAAAAAAAGCTTGATATGGGTCAGTGATTTGAGTGAAGAGTAAAAAGGCCTCGTGGAAGAAAATATTTATATCAAGAAATTTAACAAGGTAGTACTGGATATGACACCAAATAAAACATAAACACTCGAGGTCTATTAAAATTTTTCTAAAGCTCTGAAAAGGAGCTAAGAGGAGAATAATGATAATAATGTCTAATAAAAATTTTCAAATACCATATCTAATAAAAAAATGTACATAATGAGAAAACCTCTTACAACTCAAAATAAGACAAACTCAGCAGTGGAGGAGAAGGCAATGGGGTAGGATTTCTAGTTTCAGTTCCAACATATAAAGACCTTTGAAGTTAGCACTCCCATACTTATAAGAAAATGAATGAATTTTCTTATATGTTTCAGACAGCTAGTATTTCAGAAAAAAAAAAACACCAACCTGAAATCTGAAATCTGTGGAGATAACTTCAGCCTCAGAGTCACAGCTTAGAATCTGTTTCCCAGTAGAAGAAGCCTCTGGAGCCATAAACTGACAACACTTAAAAGGTAATTTCAATGAATAGCTGGACACTGTCTGTGGAATAGTGTAAAAATGAGAAGCTCCTGAGGTTTAAATTCTCAGAGAGGCCACATACCTTTGGGACTTTAACGCCAGGAACCCCACCATGTTCTTAAATTGAAGAGCTAAGTAAGAAGACATCATGGTTCTAGCAGGGTGTGGGGAAGAGTACTCATTATTTCCCGTATATATTCCCAGAGACTTCACACACACACAAATAGACAACCTTCTATTCCCCTACTACTCTTTGCCTGAGACTCATCTCAGTTGGGTGAAGATCATTCCCCCCAAATCATTCCAACCCTTCTGACGTTTCAGTCTTACCTAAGAGGAACAGGGTAAACATAATTAACAGGAATCAGGATTACAATGAAATAGGTTGGGGGAATCCTCAGACAGGGAAGAGATGAAAAGGTAGAGGAAAGAGGCACACTAGTAAAGAACATAACCCGAAGACACAGATCCACTAAAAGCTAAGATGTCTTAAGATTATAGAACATTCTCCCTCCTCTCCATTTCACAAGCATGCCAATAGTGAAATATAACAGTAGATTACAGCTGAAAAAAAACCTATAAGAACATTCTCTTTCTCTAGAAATACTCTTAGTAGATCAAAGTCAAGAAGGATAACACAAATAAGAATATCAGAGGAACTTCAAACTTCTGAAACATACTACAAAGAATAATTTGCAACTACAACCAATATCAAACACATCCCCAAAATACATATAACCATATTATGTTCAAACTACAGAAAACCAAGGTAAGAAAAATCTTGAATCAAGAAGGAAGAAATACACCTTGCCTATAGATGAATATGGGCTTCCTATGTGGAGTTCGTGAAAAAGAACCTGCCTACATATGCAGGAGATGTAAGAATTCAATTCAGTTCAGTTCAGTCTCTCAGTCATGTCCGACTCTTTGTGACCCCATGGACTGCAGTATGCCAGGCCTCCCTGTTCATTGCCAATACCCAGAGTTTACTCAAACTCATGTCCATTGAGTCGGTGATGACATCCAACCATCTTATCCTCTGTGACCCCCTTCTCCTCCCACCTTCAATCTTTCCCAGCATCAGGGTCTTTTCCAATGAGTCAGTTCTTTGCATCGGGTGGCCAAAGTATTGGAGTTTCAGCTTCAACATCAGTCCTTCCCATGAATATTCAGGACTGATTTCCTTTAGGATGAACTGGTTGGATCTCCTTGCAGTCCAAGGGACTCTCAAGAGTCTTCTCCAAAACCACAGTTCAAAAGCATCAATTCTGGGGCGCTCAGCTTTCTTTATAGTCCAACTCTGACATCTATACCTGACTACTGAAAAACCATAGCCTTGATTAGATTGACCTTTGTTGGCAAAGTAATGTCTCTGCTTTTTAATATGCTGTCTAGGTTGGCCATAAATTTTCTTCCAAGGAGTATGCAGCCTTTAATTTCAAGGCTGCAGTCACCATCTACAGTTATTTTGGAGTCCAAAGAAGTAAAGTCTGTCACTATTTCCCCAACTATTTGCCATGAAGTGATGGGACCAGATGCCATGATCTTAGTTTTCTGAATGTTGAGCCTTAAACCAACTTGTTCACTCTCCTCTTTCACTTTCATCAAGAGGCTCTTTAGTTCTTCATCACTTTCTGCAATAAAGGTGGTGTGATCTGCCTACATGAGGTTATTGATATTTCTCCTGGCAATCTTGATTCCAGCTTGTGCTTCATCCAGCCCAACATTTCTCATGATATACTCTGCATATACGTTAAATAAGCAGGGTGACAATACACAACCTTGGCATACTCCTTTCTCTATTTGGAACAAGTCTGTTTTTCCATGTCCAGTTCTAAGCGTTGTTTCCTGATGTGCATACAGATTTCTCAAGAGGCAGGTCAGATGATCTGGTATTCCCATCTTTTGAAGTATTTTCCACAGTTTGTGGTGATCCACACAGGCAAAGTCTTTGGCATAGTCAATAAAGCAGAAATAGATGTTTTTCTGGAACTCTCTTGCTTTTTCAATAATCCAATGGCTGTTGGCAATTTGATATCTGGTTTCCCTGCCTTTTCTAAAATACTTCTGGAAATTCATGGTTCACGTACTGTTGAAGCCTGGCTTGTAGAATTTTGAGGATTACTTTGTTAGTGTGAGATGAGTGCAATTGTGCGGTAGTTTGAGCATCTTTGGCATTGCCATTCTTTGGGATTGGAATGAAAACTGAACTTTTCCAATCCTGTGGCCACTGCTGAGTTTTCTAAATGTGATGGCATATTGAGTACAGCACTTTCACAGCATTATCTTTTAGGATCTGAAATAGCTCAACTGGAATTATATAACCTCCACTGACTTTGTTGATTGTGATGTTTCCTAAGGCCCACTTGACTTCTCACCCCAGGATGTCTGGCTCTAGATGAGTTGATCACACCATTGTGATTATCATGAAGATCTTTTTTGCATAGTTCTTCTGTGTATTCTTGCCACCTCTTCTTAATATCTTCTGCTTCCATACCATTTCTGTCCTTATTGACTCTAGATATGTGTAGAGAAGACTCTACACATGGACATCACCAGATGGTCAATACTGAAATCAGATTGATTATATTATTGTAACCAAAGATGGAGAAGCTCTATATACAGTCAGCAAAAACAAGATCGAGAGCTGACTATGGCTCAGATCATGAACTCCTTATTGCCAATTTGTCCTACATTGAAGAAAGTAGAGAAAACCACTAGACCATTCATGTATGACCTAAATAAAATCCCCTATGATTATACAGTGGAAATGAGAAATACATCCAAAGGATTAGAGCTGATAGAGTGCCTGATGAACTATGGATGGAGATTCGTAACATTGTACAGGAGAAAGGGATCAAGACTATCCCCAAGAAAAAGAAATGCAAAAAGGCAAAATGGCTATCTGAGGAGGGTTTAGAAATAGCTGTGAAAAGAAGAGAAGTGAAAAGCAAAGGAGTAAAGGAAAGATATACCCATTTGAATGCAGATGTAAGAGATGTGGCTTCAATTCCTGGGTCAGAAAGCTCCTCGGGAGAAGGAAATGGCCACTTACTCCAGTATCCTTAGCTGGAGAATCCCAGGGACAGAGGAGTCTGGTGTGCTTTCTCTGGAGTTACAGAGTTGGACACAACTGAAGCAATTTAGCATGCATACATGTATGCATAGATGAATGCAGACAAGAATTGGAATGGATTTATCAGAATCCAGATAAGCAGGAATAGAGTAAAATGAAATATTTGAAAGGATGAAAGAGGAGTGCCAACTTAGAACTCCATTCCCAGCAATATCATACTTCAAAATTGAACAAATTGTTTCTCAAAGAGATAAAAACTGAGAAATTATCAACAGTATACCTACCTTGCAAAAAAATGTTAGAAGTCTAGGCAAAAGAAATTTGAGTTTAGGTCATAAACTTGGTTCTACATAAAAAAGAAATGAAGCATTTGAAAAAATACATATGAGTAAATTAAAGGTTTTTTTTAAATATTTTTCTTGTATTTGATTAATCTAAATGATAATAATTTGTTTAAAATATTAATCTAATTATAGCATATGGATAAGTTAACTGAATAAGAGCAATGACACAAGTGATATGAGAGAAAGTTGGAAATACACTTCATAGGTACTTATACTACATGTGATATTATATGTATTATTTGATGGCAGATGGAAAATGTATATAGGAAACTTTAAGGCAACCACTAAAATCATTTTTAAGAGCCTTCATATATCTATGATTACAGTAAGATACAACTTTAAAAATGAAAAAGAATGCAAAGCATGCAAAGTTATTCTCAGAACCATAGTGAAATTAAACTGGAAATCAATAGCAGAAGTATATCTAGAAACCTCCCAAACATTTAGAAATTAAGCAACACACTTCTAAATAATTTGAGTCATATTAAGAGTCTCAAGAGAATTTAAGGAATATTTTGAACTTAATAAAAATGAAATACCTCTTTTGGAAACATGTGGGTATGGTGAAAGCAGCATTTAGAGGGAAATTTTTAGCATTAAAAACTTATGTTAGAGAGGAAGAGTATCTAAACTATGTAACATAAGCTTACACATTTATAAACTACCTTTAAAACTAGAACAAGTTAAGTCTCATGCAAGTGAAAGAAAATAAATAATTAAAAATTAGAGTGGAAATCAATGAAATTTAAATTAGGTCAACAATAAGAGGAAAAATCAATGAAATCAAAAGGGAGTTTCTTCTAGAAATTAATAAAATTGATAAATCTTTAGGTCCACAAAGTGATATCATAAGTGAAACAGACAAAGTCATTGAAAGACATAAGCATTATTATATAGAAAATGCAGGCTGTCAACATAGCAAGTACTAGAACTAATAGACAAATATAACAAAGTGGCAAGGATACAAGGTCAATATGTAAAAGTCAAATGCATTCCTATATCCCAGTAATGAATGATTAAATTTGAAATTTAAAACTATATCAGTTATAATTATATTCCCTACCCCCAAAAAAATTTTAGGTGTAAACCTAAAAATAACATGTATTTGGTCTATATGCAGATAACTACAAAAGCTGATGAAGACAATAAAAGATAATATAAATAGAGAAATATTTCATGAACATGGATTGGAAGATTTAATATGTTTAAGCTGTTAGTTCTTCCTGACTTAATCTATAGATTCAATGAAATCTCAATCAAAATCTCAGGAAGCTACTTACCCAGTTATTTTGAACAATTCTGGTAAACATGGAACTTATATATAAATGTATAAAAGTTTTAAAATTTCACAAGTGCCCCAAACTGGAGGCGATCAAGATACCTTTCTATTAGTTATTTAGTTAGTTAGTTCAGTCGCTCAGTCGTGTCTGACTGTTTGTGACCCTGTGGACTACAGCACACCAGGCCTCGCTGTCCATCGCCAACTCCCGGAGTTTACTCAAACTCATGTCCATTGAGTCGGTGATGACATCCAACCATCTCATCCTCTGTTGTCCCCTTTTCCTCCCACCCT